TATATATATATATATATATACTTATATAGCTATTATAAAGAATAAATGAAAGGTATAGAGAAAATACATAGATATATGAGACTCTTCAGTAATCCCATGCGAGTGTGACTTTGGAAAACTTGTGGCATTTTGGAAAGTAGTTGAAGACATGTTAAATCTCTCTCATCCTTTTGCATTGCAAGTTCTTTATCCATTCTTACAAGCCAAATTGCAACATCTACACCAAAAAAGTAAAGTTAAACAATCATCCACTTTGAACTTTGAAGCGCAACTCGAAAATGAAAGTGAGTTTACTATATAATCACTATTAATTAATTAATACCAAGATCCAAGGCTTCAAATACTGCTCACCACATTAGCTTATAATTACGGGGCGATTTTCATTCACTAAACTGTTGCAATTGAATAGCATTTCAGTCATTACCATGACACAAAATTAATTAGTTAAACCGCAGTTTTATTACCTATAATATAAAATTCAGCTTTAGTTTTTTATTTTTAATTTTGTAATTTTAATTTTCCAATTTTATAAAATCTGTAATTTCATCACCTCTTTAAATATTCATCAATTTATTGTTAAAATTGTTATATTAATCTGGTCATATTAAATAAATGATATGACAATAATATATAATAATATTTAGGTTAAATTTCACTAATTATTTTTATCTCATAAAAATAATAAAATGAAATGAAAATATGATAAAAATAGAAGAACTATAAGGGCAAATTAGCCTAAATATTAATCATCATGTCATTTATTACCTAATGTTAAATCAAGACCAATGTTACTATATTAATGATCAATGGATGAATATTTAATAAGGAAATCAAAATTGCATAATTTATAAAACAGAGAGACTAAAATTATGGAATAAAAAATAGAGGAATCAAAATTGCGAATTTAATATTACAAGGATGAAAATTTCAATTAAACCTAATTAATTTTAATAAAAATTGAAATTGAAGGAGATGACTACAAATCAATAATTTATGAAATTACTAGATTCGACCTAGTAGTGTGTGGAGTTGAGATAGTATGCATGTTTGAAAAAGGTTCTTCCTAAGCGGAATTTTCATATTAGAATGGGTACCCGAAAATTGATAAACACAACATCGTATTTTTATAGTTTAAATATATTTTTAGTCTTTAAAATTTAAGGTAAATTTATTTTTAGTTCATCAAATTTAAAATTGATCTTTTTAGTTTCTGTAATTTTACAAAATTTTGTTTTAAACATTATACTCAAATTTTGTTAAAGAATATGTCAAATACTATTATATATATAGAACTTATTTATTGGTGTCTCTGTTAATGAAAATATCACATTAAACTCGGCTCATATTACATAATTACCTTAATTTATCACTATGTTATTGGTGACCTTAAAGACTAAAACAAGACTTTTAAAAATTACAAAAGTTAAAAGAAATAATTTTAAATTTGAGAGATTAAAAATAAATTTATCCTAAATTTAATGAACTAAAAATATATTTAAATCCTATTTTTATCTTTCTTATCTCGTGATCATAATTTTAAATTACAGTTTAGGGTATGCGTAATTACACTGCAATTGCAATTGCAGCCTCAACATCATTTCACCATAATTGCAATTATGACTGTAGCAATAGCATTTTCTCGCAATTTCCTACAATGTCAAGAATTACACTACAATTGCAACCCAATCACAACTTAATTAGAACATACGCATGACTGTACACAGTTTACATTCTAACACACGTTGTGACATGAGTAGCGTGAAATGAAAGACTTACCAAAATGTTGGCCAATGACGGTGGCATGAAGAGCAGAACATTTGTCTGATCTACGAAAATGTTTTCGAACATCTCCCATGTTACGCGTGGCTACACGGTTGGCCAAATGCATGAGCATGGTTACCCTTCCATGCATTGCAGCCACGAACAAAGGAGTTTCACCTCGGTGGTTTCTAGCCTCTAACAATGACCCTTTTTCCTCATCCGCAGATTGTGATGGCAATTGCAACTCCAACTCCTCTTCAATCTCAAACACAACATTAGCCATTTGCACCTTCTCACAAAACACAACCTCGTGCAAAACAGTGTTTCCTTCACGATTCTCCATGCACATGGCTTCCCACCTTTCTTCTATAGGCACCAGTTGTATTAGTTCTTTGAGGAGTTGTGGGTTGTTGGAGCGAGTTGCAACGTGGATGGCGTTGTTCCCAAATAGGTCAAACCATTTCAACAAGTTTTCCTGGTCATCTTTCATTTTTTCCTTGAACTCTTCCCATCGATTTTCCATAGCAGCCTTTTGAGCCGATTTTGTTTTTTCACTAAATAATGGGGTTATTTCTTCCCTTTTCTCCATTTTTCTTATCTCCTCCATTTCACTCGTTGTTTAAGTAATTAACAAGGACTCAGCGATGCATACAAGTTCACTCACTCTCGTGGCCTTATATAGTATTTTGCCGTAAGACAGAAAAGTATTTCATTATTACTCATTAGATTTTAATGTATATTTTCTAAAATTGATATTGGAAAAAAAAATAAGGTTTAAATATTTTTTCAATCTCTTCAATTCGATAGAAAAGTATCTTATTACTTATTAGATTTTAATATAAATTTTATAGAATTGATATTAGAAAAAAATAAGGTTTAGATATTGTTTTTCAATCTCTTAAATTTGATTTATTTAGTCTCTTTATTTGAAAAAACTTATTTTAGTCATTTTATTATCCAAATGTAAGTAGTGATTCTGTCAAACAAAACTCGTGTAATGTGTGACCAAAAGAAACTAGGTCCCAATAGTGTAAATTAATCCTTATTTCTCAATTTTAATTTGAAATACTGCATAAATCATATTTATGAAGAAAAAAAAAGTAAAAATCACTTATATCATTGAATCTTTCTTATGAAATTCACATAACAATGTCTTTATTAGTGAAAATAATACAATAAACTTGATTTATGCTGTAAAATTGACTCGGTCTATAACAGTGAACACTGCAATTAATAATTCTATGAGATTAAAACAATTTTTTTAATTTAATATTACATGAGGTATAAAAGTTAATTTTCAAGTTAAAGGACTCAAAATAAATTTAACCTAAAAATAAATTTAATGAGGAAATAATATATATTTCTAGTCGTCATAAAATTAACTTAACAAAAGCTTTCACCCAAACTGCCTATGAAACTTTTCACCCTAGGGAAAAACGTGAAAAGGCGTGAAGTGTCCATTATCAAGCAGGTTTGCAAAAAACATTTGTCCATCTTTCTTAGTTGTGATTTTCCTAAATGCCTAATTGCTTTTTCTTTTTAACTTTTTTGTTTTTCACGCTTATCGTCTGGCTTCCTCTTTAATTTATATGTTTGGTATATTAGAATGAAATGGTGATTTAGTTCTACGAAACAATGAGAAGTTCTTCAAAGCAACGGACAAATTATTATTGGCCACTAACATAAAATTCTATACAATCTTATGTAAACTTTTAGTCATTATTATTCAAATATAATTTTGGGATTCATACACACATATATATATATATATTACAATCTTAAAATTGACAATTATTTTCACTCGTTACACTTTCTACATACGATTCAATATTTTTTACCCAAAGGGATGAGATGCCAAATTAATCTATATTTCATTCAAGGCGTCTAATTTTTTGATGTTTAAGGTGCATTAGGTGTTTGATTTGGACTGAAACCTAACATAGCCTCTAGAAGGTTTTACTAGAAAAAAAAAAAGAAAAAAAAAAGAAGAAGAAAAAGAAAAAGCCTCTAGTAGACACTTATAACTTATATGCTACTTTTTGATGTAGTTTAAAGTAATTTTAATTGGCTTCGGTCATTGTCATTACATGTCTATTTGAGTTCCTTAGAGCATACTTGGGATTAATATAAATGTAATACACAAATTAACAAAAATAAACAATTTTCAAAGGGTTGATATAAAAAATTAATGTTTTTTCCAATCAACTTGTATTTTAAAATATAAATAAAATATAATAAGTAAGTTTTATATTAAAAAAATTATTAAATAAAATATATTTCACCTTTAAAATTAATTCATCTCATCATTAAATTCTTATAAACAAAACTTTTATTTCCCTAGATAAAGTTAACTATTTTTGTGTTTGATTTATTATTTTTACACATTCCAAGTGTGTTGAAATGAAAAACATATGAGAGCATTGGTTGGAATCATCGTTCATTTGAGTCATCTTAACGGATATTCAAAGTCATAACTGTTAGAAATTTTATTTCTAATAGTTATTATGGGCTAGATATATCATTTTTAGTATTATATTAGTTATTTACATTTAGTTAGGCTCAATAAAAGTAATATAATTTTAGTGAGTCTTTAGACCGTCAACAGGAAAAATTGATGTGGGCCCAAATAAGTGAAAACTAGATTTAGACCGTTATGGGTTAATAGAAACCCTAATAGGTTGAAAATCGTAAAGATAGTCATGGTCCCCAATATACCAAATCAGAAACGCACGTCTCTCTGTCTCCCCATCAAAAGAGTAACATCAAGTCCCGTTAAAGAATCTAGTGATTTGGTTGAGGAAGATCATCACACCAAAAAACTATTCTGCTGTAACTTTTGATCAATGTCAATGGGTACATGTATGTGTTACTAACCTTAACTCTGTAATCTGAGACAACGGTTCTTAATATTGATTAATGAAAAATTTATATTTGGCTTAAGAAATTTATCCTAACAAGTGGTATCAAAGCCACCATTGTCATTAGGTTATGGAGTTCTAAAGCGTATTATTACAATTTTATTTTATTGAAAGTACGTGTATTTGAATGTGTTAGTCATATGATAGCTTCAATTTGGCTTAATTGGTTATATGGATACAAGGATCGATTAAAAAAAATTGAATTTTTATTAACGAGATTGATTAAAGTGATTTTTTTTTGTATTGTGAAATTGTATAATTTTTCGTGAATGTTATACATATATATATATATATATATATATATATATATATAAAATAATTTTGCAATGATCTAGAAGACATTGTTAAATAAAGAATTTTTAAGCATTTTAATTTTCTCACAAAAAGTGAGATAATTCTGCAACAATGAAATAAAAGAATATTTTCTCATCGAAAGTGAGATAATTGTGCAAAAATGAAATAAAAAAATATTTTCTCACCAGAAGTGAGATATTTGTACAACAATGAAATAAAAGAATATTTTTCTCACCAGAAGTAGGAAAATAATATGAATAGTGAAGAGGAAAAAGGATAGATAAATACATGGTATTATGTTTGATCCTTTGAGTACCACCAAAAGTGGAATAATTTTGTCAAATTCATTGTTGTAATATTAAATGATATTTGGATAAATTATATGATCAATATATTAAATCCTACATTATCAAAAATTAATGGCATTCGCGTAAGAATTATTTTCTTGAAATTTGAAATTCTCTCAACCATTGATATTATGTTCAAATTTAAATTGATATTTTTTTATATCAAATTTGAGTGCGAAATTTGGAAGATTATTGACCCTCTTTATTAATTAATTGTATAGTAATTTTAATTAAATTAATTTGTAATATATTGTCAAAGTAATCTTTTTTATAGAAATTAATTTAATTAAAAATTGCAATAGATGTTAGTATGAGATTATTTATTCAATTTGTGCTCAATCCAAAGGAAGACACAATTTGGCCAAATAATAACATGCATGTGATGATAAATATGTGACAATTATAAATTTACAATCATGTGAATAATAGTCGGTCCAAAGAAATACTATTATTTGATAGAATTAATTGTCAATATTTGATCGTTGCATTGAGAGTACCACTGACAAGTTAATTTGTATGTCCAAAAACAAATAATTAATGTTGTGTTCGGTATCTTGTAATGGGTCTATTATGTAAATAATTTTTATGTTTTATTTTATTTTATTTTATTTTATTTTATTTTACTTTGTGAACATGTAATTAAATTTTTTATCTATATTCTATTACAATTGTTGTTGCTAGTGCTGTTAACTTGTCTGCTCAAATTAATTGTATACTCATGCTTAATAGGACAAACTTTAAGGCCTGGAAGGAAGCAGTTGAGATAATTCTTAGTTGCATAGATCTTGATCTTGCACTTCAGGTTGAGAGACCCACTCCAACTCTGGAAAACCCGGTTGAGGATAAGGTTGAAAAGTGGGAACGCTTAAACCGAATGTGTCTAATGATCATGAAGCGATCTGTTCCATAAGTTTTTCGAGGCTCTATTTCTGAGAGCCATGTCGCCACCGGCCCGGAACCGGGCTTTCGGCATTCGCG